AAAGCCAAAGGAGGAGACAGAGATCGCGCTCGAGGAGACAAAGCCGAAAAATGAAAAGCCCAGACGAAGATGAGATCTCGGAAGAGTTGAGGAAGCTGAGAAGAAGAGTGGAAGAGGAAAAGCCTATGGAAGCCTGCCTTAATGCCCATGAAGTGGAGCCTCAGGACGAGAAGTATGAGCCTGAGGACGAAGCTACGCGTTTGAAGGCGTGGACACGTACAGAGCGAACTGCCGAGAGTGCCAGCTTGGCGGCTTTGCGAATTTCACCGTCCGAGATGGATGCAGAAAAAAGAGCGCGGCTGAAGCTTGAAGTTTTCGATTCGTTCGTGGAGGGGTGGGTTCATGACTTGTCACTATTTCAACTTTGCAAGGTCAAGACCAAGGGGGATTTGTTGCCATTCCCTGTTGACTCGATCATGGAACACCCTTCGTTATCTGGAGAGGACAAGCGTGTTTTGTCGGTGTTGAAAGGCATTTGTTGTGGACTCAATTCCTTGTATGGCAGCGAGCCAGATGAGACGAACAAAGTGTCAGCCGCTCAAGTTAGATGTTGCATGTTTTTGATGGAAGAGGCGAGAGATTTCGTGGCAAGGTGTCCTACCCTCCCTGCCTTGAGTTGGGAGGAATATTTATCGGTGCGAACCATTGACTACAAAGGTGACGAGGTGAAGGTGGCTCAAATTACTTCTTGGGAAAATGTTCGGCACGCCTTGCCTAGCGAAGTGGGAACAGTGCCTTTGGAATCCGTTGTGTCGAAAGGGTCTTTGCACTACACCATGAACTTTGGCACCTACCTTTTACCCGAACGTGACCAGGTGTATACCAAACCCCCGAGGATCATGGTAGCGGACGGTGCATGGGAGGACCTGTGCAGGGGACTCCTCGCCTCTGGGGTCTGCGGGCTCATCAGAGAGACAGAGGTTCACTTGGTGCAAGGTAAGCGGTTGTTCAATGGACTTTTTTGGCGTGCCCAAAGACGAAGAGGTTGATGGCGTGCCGGTTCATAGGCTGATTATGAACCTGGTGCCGCTCAATCGAATTTGTCGGTCCATTAGTGGTGACGTAAGTACACTACCAGCCTGGCCTTCGATGCACCCCTTTGAGTTGAAAGACGGTGAGACGTTGGTGATGAGCTCAGAGGATGTGCGCTGTTTCTTTTATATATTCACGGTTCCAAAGGAATGGCACTCCTACCTTGCTTTTGGTCGACAGGTCCCCCCCGGAGCTTTGGCCTGACCAAGATGGACCCTACTACCTTTGTAGCGAAGTGCTGCCAATGGGGTTTTGCAACTCCGTCTCGCTTGCACAGCACATCCACCGGTTTATAGTAGGAGAAGCCGCGCAGGAGTGTGTTCTGAAAGGTGGTAGGGCAGGCTGGGAGGCGGAGCACCGCAAAGACCGCCCTTTCAGTTGGAGCAACCCTTCTTTCCGCGTGTACCTGGATAACTTTGACCTCCTGGAGAAAACGGACAGTCGGTTGGCAACCACAATTCAGGGGTCTTGTTCTCCGTTTGTTGAAGCGTTGCGTGAGGCGTATGCAAGGCGACAGGTGCCCAGGCATCCCAAAAAGGCAGTGGCTAGGGCCATCCATGCTGAGATCCAAGGTGCAGAGGTCGATGGTGTGACGGGCATGGCCGCTCCCAAGGCGGACAAGCTAGGCAAGTACATCAGACTTTGTCAGCTGTTGTTGCAGGCAAGGGTCTGCACCCAACGTCAGATGCAAGTCGTCGCTGGAGGTTTTGTTTATTTCTGCACATTCAGACGGCCCCTTTTGGGAGCCCTCAACCAAGTGTGGCAATTTATTCAGAGCTTTGAGACTGGAAAGTACCAGCAGCGGATTCCTGATGGCGTGAGGCTTGAGCTCAGTCGTTTCTGCCTGTTGATCCCGTTGGCACGCATGAATTTCCGGCTTGCATTGTCATCCACTGTGACCGCTTCTGATGCGTCCACGACAGGAGGAGGCGTGACGGCTTCTTGCGGGGTGAGTCAAGTAGGAGCCATCGCGGCCAACTTGCATGTGAGAGGTGACCTGGCAGAGCTGGAGGAAGTGGCCACCGTGTTGACCATTGGACTTTTTGATGGGATCGGAGGCTTGCGAGTCGCAGCAGACGCAGTTGGACTCACAGTGATTGGGCATGTATCTGTTGAGTGTCATCCACCTGCCCGTAGGGTCGTAGAAAGTAGGTTCCCACACACTCTTTTCATCAATTCGGTGGAGGAAGTCGACGAGGAGGTGGTTAAATCCTGGGCGTGCCAATTTAGTCAGGTGAGTGTCGTGCTGTTGGGCGCAGGACCTCCGTGCCAAGGTGTTTCTGGGTTGAATGTTGACCGACGCGGAGCGCTTCGAGATCACCGGTCTTCTCTGTTTCCGCATGTCGAGCGCATAGCAAGTTTGTTGCGAGCCCATTTTCCCTGGGCCCAGGTACATCGGCTCATGGAGTCGGTAGCGTCCATGGACGAGGCAGACAGAGTTGTGATGAGCCAGTCAGCGGGAACCACGCCAGTGCTCATCGATGCAGTGGGCGTCACAGGTTGTCGACGACCGCGCCTATATTGGCCAAGTTGGGAGTTGGAAGACGGCAATGGGTCCTCCATCTCCTCGGTCACAGGAGAAGGATGGTCGCAGGTGACAGAGGTGGTGTTGCAAGAGGAGCACGATGTGAGTGTGTTTTTAGAGCCTGGGTGGACCAAGTGTAGCCCTATGCCTTTCCCTACCTTCACCACTTGTAGACCTCGTGCTAGCCCAGGCCGCAGGCCAGCGGGATTCCATCAGTGCAACGCGGAGGAGGTGAATCGCTGGCGTGTCGACTCACATCGTTTCCCACCTTACCAGTACCGGCGTGTCTTCTGCGTTGAAAACAAGCGTGGTGAAGTACGGCTACCATCGGTCGAAGAGCGTGAAGCCCTCATGGGATTCCCTCGAGGCTACACTGCCCACTGCCTTCCTAAGAGTCAGCGGCATGGGACGGCATGGTTGGACGAACGGCTGACCCTCATTGGGAATTCATGGTGTGTGTTTGTCATTGCATGGCTCCTACATTGCTTGGGTGTTCCTCGAGGTCTGTGCAATCGGTTGACAATGGCGGAGTTGATGCAGCAATGCCGGCCGGGCGGGGGGCGCACGTCTCCAGAGCTTCCTGTTACGTCCTTTTATGCGAGTGCCCCGAGGTTCGGTCTCTCCACAACCTGATCTGTTGGCACGCAAGTTGACTGGTTTGGTCAGTGGTAAAGGTGAGGATTTGCTGTTGCAGGCTCCGTCCGAGGATGTGCAGCGATACCATCGCCTAAGGGCGAGCATACCTTCCAATCTGTGGCGCTGGAAGACCGTGTGTGGATGGCGTTGGTCAGGTAGCTCCGAGCACATCAACGTCCTTGAAATGCGTGCAGTGTTGACGGCGCTGAAGTGGCGGTTTGCTCGCAAGGGATGGATTCGCACCCGGTTCCTCCACCTCGTGGATAGTCAAGTATGCTTGCATGCTCTAGCGCGGGGACGCTCAAGCAGTCGGAAACTTCGCAGAACCCTTCTTCGCATCAACTCTCTCTTGTTGGCATCTGGAGCCCAAGGCGTGTGGACGTATGTCCATACGGAGCTCAACCCTGCCGACCGTCCGAGTCGGCATCCGGTCAAGAAGAAATGGCTAAAGTAGCCAAAGCACATGTAGAAGGATGCTCACAAGTAGAGAGGAAGAAGCGAAGAGCGGAACTAGGAACGTTGCATTCTCTGACTGTACAGCCGAAAACACGAGCCAGGTATGAAAAAGCCCTTGAGCAATTTTGGGCCTTTCTCCGCCATGAAAACATTGTCTTTCCCCGCGGTGCTTTTGAGCTGGACCGAGTGTTGTGCATTTACGTGGAACGCCTGTGGAGTGAAGGCTTTGGCCGGGCTCTGGCTGCAGACACTGTAGCCGGAATACAGGACGCTCAACCCAATGTTAGAAAACAGTTGCCAGCCACTTGGCGCCTTTTAAAGGCTTGGAATGTCAATGAGATTCCTAGCCGAGCACCACCGCTTCCAGAGGAGGCCTTGCAGACCATGATCGGATACGCCATCTTTCACCATGGATACCAGTTTGCCATTTCCCTCCTTGTAGGGTTCTACGGAGTCCTGCGTACGGGAGAGTTGCTGGGGTTGACGTCCAGCGACGTGTCGGTTTCATCTGAGCGAGGACCAGCTGTAGTTGCTTTGGGGTATACTAAAGGAGGACAGCGTCAAGGAGCTGCCGAAAGCGTCAGTTTGACGTCCGAACAGGCCATCAGGTGGCTGCATCAGTGGACGTTAGATGTTCCTCTCAAGACTCCTTTGTGTGCTAAACCCCCTCAGTGGAGAAAGCACTTCAATGATACTCTGGTAGCTCTAGGCTTTGATGTCTTTGACTTTAGGCCATACTCACTCCGAAGGGGTGGGGCCACATACTGGTTTAAGAAGTGGGGGTCTCTCGACCGCCTACTTCTTTACGGAAGGTGGCAGAATGCCCGCACCGCCCGCACCTACGTTAACGATGGACTGGCAGTTCTTGCCAGCATGCATCTTCCATGGACACCAGTGAATCGCCGTTTCCGTCAAATTTTTCTGAATTCATGTCGTAACCCTGTGCCAGTGCTTGACCCAGCTCTGAAGAGCAGGCCAGGGGGACGTGGAGGAAGGACCTCCAAGGATAAGAAGAACAAGAAGAGAGCCAAGAA